AGATCCTGCTACATGGCTGTACATCTTATTTTGGCATTTGACCAATTAGATGAGCCCTTCAATGATATACTACCTACTGGAAATGAAGTTGGAAAAAAGTGAAAAATTTAATTGAAAAGTTAAAAAGTTAATAAGCTTAGTTAACAATTATATTCAGGTTTATAAACAAAAAAATGTCAGTGTCAATGTTACAAAGGTAATTAGATCTTGTGCTGGGTTCCAATAACACTATTGGCTTGAAATTTTGAGTGCCCTATAAAGAGTTAAGGGTCTTGCTAAGGGTCTAACCTAGAGGGAGGCTGTGGGAATGGGTTTCAAACTCACAACCTCAGGATTCCAAGCTCTATGCTCTAACCACTAGGCCACCATTCCCCACGATTGGTTCAATTTAAGTCTGTGTTTTTTTTCTTTTCTTTACTTTTTGTTGGCTTAAAGCGTTCAAATATTTAAAAGCCTTAGATGAAGATGCAAAAATAAGACGGTTGATGTTTCCGGATGGACCATAGAAGCTGTATCAGTCCTTGAAATATTAGAACTAGATGATTTTGTGAAATTCAGAGAAAATATAATCATCTGCATGATTGTTCAATGCTAGTTTAACTTAAATAAATTAAACTTAATTCTGTTGAGATTCTTTTTTCCATTTGTTCTAAAAACAATTCAATTCAGTTTATTTCTTTAGCACCAATTCCCAACACATCTCATCTCAAGGCACTTTACAGATCATCCAGTCAGATTGATTCAAAGTTTTCTATCTAAGGAAAACCAGCTGATTGCATCGACTCATTGACTCAAAGGCAAACCTTCACAGTAAGCATGCTTGTAGCGACAGTGGAGAGGAAAAACTCCCTTTTTACAAGAAGAAACCTCCAGCAGAACAAAAGCAAAACAAAAACTCAACAGTGCTTGAGAAAACGTTTTATTCCTGTATCATGATAAAATGCTTTTAGGCTATTAGGACCCCAGGGATGGAAAAATAATCCAGAGTTGTTTTTGTTTGTCTTAAAAACTGATTACCCTGCAGGGTTTAGGTGTCGCCCTGCATAAAACAGCTGATTCAGATGATGGAGCCCAGGAGCTCTTTTCAATCAGCCATCAGTTGAAATCAGGTGTGTTGGGGGGGTTCCATGATTCCCACCACTGTTCTCCAGGACATTCTGCTGCTTCACATCTGACTAAATTAATCTGTAGTCAGCTGTAGGCCGATGAATCGGTAATAATCGAGCAGAGCTGCGTTTAAACCATAAAGGTACGGGGCAACTATCCACGGATTTTTTAAAAACAGGCTTTGTTAAACCTTAACTATTTGTAAAATTAAAGAATTCTTTTTCTACCCTTCAAAACAAATGTTGACAACTGTCCAACATTTTTTTAAAGTTTTTAAAAACTCTGATGAATCAGAGTGAGAAGACAAGTAGTTTGAAAATATCTGGTGTTTGTTTGTGTAATCAGACCGATGAAGGATCATGATGGACGTCCTAATCAGATATTAACATTCAATATCGGTCCAATATTTGACTAAAAAAAAGCTAATATCATTAGTATCTCCAATACGCTGATGGGAACTCTCTGCTTCTGTTAAGTTTCTGTTCATCATTTGTTCATTTGACATGGGTCAGATGTTTTCATACCTATCACAGCTTTATTTTTATAGGCGAGTCGTTAAGAACAAGTTCTTATTTACAATGACAGCCTGACAACCACTTAGGAAGAGGGAAGTAGGGCTAAAATAAATACTAAAGCATTAGTAATACATGCATGAAATACAATTTAAAACACAAGAGCTAAAGAGCAACCACCTTTTGTTGTTGGCTTTTGTTCCACACATTAATAATATTTATCAAACCTTTTCATACATTCTACAATATAAAATAGGTAAAGAAAGCTGGTATGATTTATTCTGATATTGTATTGGATTAATATCGGTATCAGCCGATTCTTAAAGCTGCACTATTAGTATCATATGAGAAATACAAAGTTGTATCAGAACTAAGGGTCTAAATTATAATCACTTTTTATCGATGCATTGATACAAAACGACAGACGATCCGACAACAGCCGACATTACGATGCATCAACCTGCAACAGTATCGATTCATGTGATGTCATTTTTCACCTGGTTTAATTTAGTGAAAAATCTTCTTTAAAGAACCTTTGGCTATCTGATTCTTAATTCAAAAAACAATCGACAGATGAATCCATTTGGAAAATAATTTTGATTTTTAACTTTGATTTGGACCGGGTAATGGCTGAGGTCCTTCAGAGGGGGGGGGCCAGGCTGGACTAACAGGGTCAGCAAAGCTATATAGATACTAAAACTTCACAACCACATCAATACTAGGGGTGTAAATCACAACCATCATGGCGATTTGATTCAGTATCAATTTCCTGACCCAACGATTCCATTGTTTTTCGATACTGAAGAATACACCACGATATGATTCAATTAATTGGTTAATTTTTTTGCCTTACAGGCTAGAGAATGCTTCAAATTTGAAATTAATCAATGAAAGCTCTAAATATCGTTATGCATTTTTTCTTTTGGAAACAACAGCAAATAACAGAAGTAGCAAAGTTGTGCCCCACCTAGGCCTATGGAAACCTCTTTCACTGAAAAATAATAATGCCTGTGTTAAAGATTATGAAAGGCCTTGCATCAAAACATACTGCAAGCAGAAAGAGAGAGGGTAGTGACTGAAGGAAGTGAGGTAATAGGGCAAAATGGGTTTAGCGCCACCGCAGCACGGGAGGTAGAATTACGTCCAGGAGCAAATGGATAAAAATAGACCGGAGGAAGAAAAACATGAATCGATTCTCTTGTGGGCGTATCGATGCATCGGATCGTCAGCTGTTGGATCGATGGATTGATACAAAAAAATTATTATTTACCCCCCTAATCAGTACCCAGGCATATAATTGACACTCAACACCATGGGGATAAAAACGACTGATAATTAAAGGGATAAATGATGGAATAACATGGAAAGCTCTCCTTTTTCACTCATATCGGGGATCAGGTTTTCTCTACAAAATCGCAGATGCAAGTTAAATAAATGTGGATTTAAAAGCAAAATAAATGAACAGTTTGACAATAATTCAAACTGTTAAAGGTATTTTTATTTCAATATGCAAATAATCCAGAAATTAAATATATTCAAACATTTGTCTTTAGTCTCTATACCATTGGAAGTTAGTGTGGTATCTGGATGCAGCGATCGAGTGACCATGATTTTTGCAGTATTGATATTTTTGGTAATTCTTCGTGTTTTAATGTTATTATTACTGTTGTTTTAATAGACGGTCATTAACTCGTTGTTGTATAAATGCGCACATGGATACCCCAAAAGGTAACAGAAAATATGCTGTTCTGCTCTTCAATGGGCTTTTTAAAACCAAAATAGCCCTAAGTTATTATAGAAATAGACTGCATAGATCTTCGCCTGTGATCTGGTCAATTCCCAATGATACCTGGAACCTTCGGGGCCAATAAATGAATAACAGATTGGAGAATCTGTACTTTTTGGCAGCTCTAAGGATCATGGCAGCTCAGTTCCAGTTTGAGGTCTACTTTAAACCTTTTAATATTTACTGAGGTTTCATTGATTTAACAGACGGGTCTGTTTGTTCTTTGTGATGTTTTTCCTCCAATCTGTTGGTCAGCTGCTCTTAGATAAGCTCGTTTTTTTTTTTTTTTAAAGGAACTATGAACTGAGATGCGATGAGGCCACTCGTTGTTTAAGATCTGTCTTATTTTTCCAGCAGGACGATTCCTTTTCGTTTCTTGTTCGTTTGGATCCATCAGACCTTTTGGTTCCAGTTTTCATCCAAACTGAAAAAACGGATCTAAACAAAAGCAAACACGATTTTCTGCCACTGACATCAACATTTTCTTAGATATTTTGCACA